AAACTGCGCCAAGGGGCGAACTCTGCTACATCCCACTACATTTTCCCAAAATATGGGAAATCTGCGCCAAGCCTGCGCCGAAAGACCAATAGACCGATGCCACCAAGCGAACTGCGCAGGCGCGCGCATTCCAAAAGTTGCGCCGTCGCCATGTTCGTTGTAGTCATCATGCCCGCTTCCTCTCCGCGTCCTGCCTGCGTTGCCGTCGGCCGTGTCTCGGTGGGCTGCATAATATCACCGTTCTGGACGCCCCGGGATCGACTTCTCTTCACCACTAGTGTCGGTCATGTAAGTATTCCATGAAATTATATTGTTTGTGATACGTTAGTTTGCCGGGAAGCTTAAAAGAGTAGTCACCGTCGACGTTCGCTGGTGTTGGTTTTACGCGTCGTAGGCTTATGGAGACTGCCACTTCTGCTCCTCGAAAAGAAAAGAAACAAAACAAGAAAACGTAAGCACTCTGCCGCACGGCTGTCTCGGTGAACTTGCAAATGAGTGAGCGGTTAGTGCGGGCAAACTGTGCGGGCATATCAATGGAGCATCGGCTCCGGAGAGCACCGCAAAACAGTCAAACGCGTCGGTGGGCTCGGAAATTACCACTGCTCAGGCTTGTGCGCCGCGATTAATCTATAGAATGAAATAAATGCAGCAACCACTGTAAAACAAAAAGACTGGTTTTCTCGGGGTTGTTCCCGAGTACGCGGAGAAACTTTTGATTAATTGGCGGCAGTGCCAGCTGACAGATGGGTACGCCAGGCACAAGCGAGCTCTCGCCCAGAAGCGTGCATACGAACAAGGAATGCGCTTCGCGTGTGTTGAAAAAGGAGCAACGGTATATGTCCCATACTTAAAAATGTAGGTGAAATGAGTTCGCATGCACTTATGTGTGTTTTCTGTTCTATTTGCGTGGAACCAAGCGCTAACAGTCGCCTGATAGATCTTTTCTCCTGTATCTCGGTTGCCGTTACTGAGCCTGGTTGGAGCTGTAACACCAGTCAAATAAAGTCTTAACTTAATAGCTTAAGAAAAAAAAGTTCAGTGTGTGTGTGTGAGGCATCTTGGTACTGATTCTTTTATTACAAGCTGCGCTACAAATTACATTTTGCAATGTTTTCCTATTGTGTTTAGCAACTGATGATGTGTTTTGTTTAAGGAAGTAGGTCTCATATCAGGCCATAATTATCGAGATTCTATTAACTTTATTGTTATAGTGCCCGTTCTGATCTTCTAAAGCATAGTGATGCTTGAAACATATGCTATTGCAGTAACTAATACAGAAAGCCATGAAACTAATTTTCGGGCTTAAACAATACATTTTCTTTTCAGGTCTCTTTGAAATCGGAATGGCATGTGCAGTGGTCGATCCTAACCAGCAGGAATGGACCTCCAAGACGAAGTCCCTGAATCCGTTCTTTAGAAAAGAACAGATCTACAGGTATGTGGCCCAGTGTAGAAACACCATGATTTAAGAAGCATTTAGGTGCTGTCACTGTCCGATGGAGTACTCAAATTATTTAGCACGGAATGAGCCCTCTAGTCTAAATGGAGGAAAAGTGCCTGGAGTGCCAAACTGGTGCTGCGCCGGTTGTGCTTAAAGCTGCATTTGCAATTTGCTGGTGGTCTTTCATTTTCTTGGCCGCCATGCAGCAGGGGCAGTACTGTCCTTGACTGTATTCAACATCATGATGGCGAACCTGCCTCCCTGCCTGGCCCAGACCCTAGACCTCGGCTTTACCGTCTACGCTGATGACATCATGGTCTAGACCAGAGGGGGAAACCATTGCTCGTTAGGAAGAGACTCTGCAAAAAGCCCTTGCCGTCATTGGTGATTACCTAGACGCTGTTGGCTTCACAGTGCTGCCAGAGGAGACCCAATACGTCGTGAGCTTATGCATGGGCCTGTGCCCCGATTCACACAAACAAGTCATGAAGGTGACATTTCTATGGGTCATGCAATGATTTTCTTACCTTCGCTAAATACTACTCAAAACGAGTCCTTGACCTGAATTGCCCACAAAACGGACAGCTGTTTCCCTCTCCAAAAAATGACAGTCGCAGAAAAACTACAGCGTTTTCTGCGACTGCGATCCTGACACCTGCGCCACGTGCATCATCAAGTGTAATCTTCAGGTAGCTACTGGTGAATCGCCTGGCAGCATCTTGTGTAGTTAAGTTTTGTTGCTGGCGTAGGTGCCGGCTATCTCACATAACTACAAAATATGTTTATGTAGAAAGCTTTTTCACATGCTGGCGGTATCTTGAATCACTTCAATCTGAACACTTCTACATGTTGTGCTGTTAAAATATTTAAAAAAATCATGCAATATGTTGATTGCAATATTTATTATGCAGGTACATGGAAACCAAAGGAGCCACAAAGCACCGAGAGGCTGGCCTGCGACTGCTTTCTTCAGGCCACCTGCAGAAGCTGGAGTTTTCTACGCGGGAGGCTGAGGAGACCATTGTACGTGCTCAAGTTTTGGCATCTATGTCAATAAGAACTTCGTACAAAGTTAATGCTGCACTGGCTAAGTGTGATGGGGAGATCATTACTGGCCACTGCTCATGTGTTGCAGGAAAGGGTTCCGTCTGCAAGCACCTTTGTTGCGTTTTTTACGGGCTAATGTACATCGCACAGCATGACCTCAGTGTTGTACCAGGTGTTGTTGCATGCACCGAGACGGAAAGGCAATGGTGCAAGCCAAGAGACCCCAGAAAAGTTAGCGAACAGTTTGGCAGTGTTGTCTTTTGTAAAGACACTTGTCACAGAATGAGCAGTGCTCCAAAGCACCATGAGAAGCGAGTGGCATATTCGTCACTTAAGGGTGACAGGCTAAATCTGCAGCCATTGGACCTCATTCACCTGCACGGCAAACTGTACGAGAGCGGCCTTCACTGCTTTGCGGACGTGCTCGAGGCTAATGACTTTGTACCTAACAAAGTGAAAGAAAGTGACAGTGAAGCCACGGAAAAGCTACCACCGCGGTGGTTGGATCAAGTGGAGAAGCAGCTAGGTATAACTGCCTACACGCCCGACGAAGTAGCGGCTGTGGAGGAGGGCACAAGGCTGCAAAGCTTGTGTCCTCTGTGGCATCACTATAGAGAAGGCATCATCACTGCCTCACTTGCGAATAGAGTGTACACGTGGGTGCACACTTGTCGAACAAAAGTGGGACCCCACGATCCTCGGTCTCTCTCGAATGCAGTGTTGGGCAAAACGAAATGTCGCGCAACAAATGACATGAAGAGAGGTCTCTTGCTCGAACCTGAGGCTAGAACACTGTTTCAAGAGAAAAACGCTAGCCATGTAGATCTTGACGTGAAGGAGAGTGGTCTCTTCTTGTCGCAGAGCCACCCTTTTCTGGGTGCAAGCCCAGACGGGATAGTCTCGTGCAACTGCTGCGAGAAGCGGCTCATTGAGATCAAATGTCTGCGGAGCTTGGCAACATTTTCTAAGTCTGAACTGCATGATGGACACCTTAAACCCACTAGCAAACATTATGCACAGGTGCAGATGCAGATGGGCGTGACAGGACGGAAGTTGTGCATCCTCTTTGTGTACTGCAGCAAAGACGACTACCGGCAGGTTTCAGTTCCTTTCGATGAGAAATATTTCCATGAGCTGGTTGAGCGTTGTACGTTTTTCTACGACACATACTTTCTGCCTTGTTTTAGATATTAGGACATTTTATTGCAAAACATACTCATCTGAAAAGCTATTTGTTTCTGTGGTGAACTAAATTTGGAACTGCTGGTGTCAGATGCATATTTAGCAAATTTCTTTTTAAAGAAACGTATTAAAAAAATGTGTCTAAGTGTTCTAACATGGTGCTTGGTATAACATGTGTTTTGTTTAAGATAGACTACTCGTTTGCGGTTTATTCCTTATAGTTTTGTGCCAGCAAATCGCCTCAGATCTTCAGTGTACTTATTTAGCTTTTGAATGTATTTGTTTAGTGTGCCATATGATTTGCAGAGGTAAATAAACACTTTGCCATATCCTTTTTCTTCTTTGTTTCATTGTGGCCGGATGCCTAACTAAACACTTTGCACGTGACAACTCAAGTGAATTCTAGATTGCTGTACACGAATACATTTTTGCGAGGTCCTAATTTTTACGAATTGAAAATTAGGTCCAGCAAACAATTCAGGCAATATGTGAACACTACAGAAGCTACATTCAATTCTCAAAAATTAAGTCGTTTACACTATAATGTGGTACACAAAAGATTCTTAAATAAATATAACAGTACTAAAAGGCTGCCGTGGTATTAAGAGGGGGGGGGGATGCTTTGTGAGCAGCCTTAGTAGGAAAGCATAAGCTGACACATGGCTGCAAGTCTCTGCATACAAGGTGTCCACAAGAAGCAATTGCTCAGTAAATGGCACTTATTAGCTGAAACATTAAATTGAATTAGCACGTTTAGCCTATAAATCAGTGTTGCTGTGAACACTGCAGCTGAAATGAAGCCTTAGGGAAACATTTGTCTCGTCCCAACATCAGACAATGAAAAGCCGAGAATGATTGTGTATGCACGCCAAGCATTCAGTGATGTGTAATAAATAGTCTTTCAACACGATAAGCAACACTCTTATTGCTTATCATGTAGGTAAGCATAAAGATATCCCTCTCCCAGAGCAATTTTTTATTGCACACAAGGTACTTGCTTGTGTACACAATCGCACATGGTCACCATCTCGCCGCGAGACATGAACTCCTCAGATCCAACACATTTCAAATGGCTGTTAGTAAAACGAGAGTCCTCCCAACCGTTCGACTAGAAACTCGTGCCACAGAAATGGGGCTAACGGTGTTCAGTACTTAAAAAAGAAATAGTTTGGTATTATCTTTTGAGCTTCACAGTAGAACGTTTCTAGCTCTGTGTTCTCATGTGCTACTTTTTCTGGCCTGCTATGTGATATGCAGTTGGTGAAACTGTTGAATCCAGCAGTTTCACCAACTTCATAGTTATTTTAACAGTGCCAATGCAACGGACTACCTACAACAAGGGCTCATCAACAAAGTTTGTCAAAAGAGCACAAACGTGCCACACCTTGTTGAGCTGCTCAGACATGCTGTTTGGAAAAATCTGCGAGAGCATTCTGAAATTTTTTACCCTTCTGATAACTCTCTCGACGTGTATACGGACGCTTGCAATGTGCCTTGTTTCCTGCTCATCCTCTTCCGAGAGCTGGGGTCGCCCTTCCATAAATGGCGGAATATTCAGGTGGAGTGAGCGCTGCTTGCATTCTTCCGATATTGTGAAGCCCCTGTCCGCCATGACGCTGCGTTCAGGGGTGAACTTGTCCAATACACCGCAAGCCTTCGTAAGTGCCTTGTCGGACAGCCTGCCAGGTGCAAGGTCCGACACAAAGGTGACGAACCCGTTAGGGCTACAGACAATCAATCCCTTTGCAGTATTGTGTTTCTTGTATGTCGAGTATGTTTCACTCTGCACTCGAAATGAAGATGGAGTCTCTATGTAGATCTCGGTGCAATCCAGGATCCCATCCACGGTGTTATACCCTTTGTCTGCAAAGGCTTGTGGCCTGTATTTATCACACAGGTGAGGGGGCAGCCATGTTGGCACCTGCATAAAATGATTTGAAGACTGTAGAAGTAATTTCTGGGCTTTTCTTTCTCTATGTGGGAAAAACATTAATCCAGTGCGTGAAAGCAGATTGCCAAGCTTGTTGAGCTTGATATTTTCTTAATTTTTCTAGAAGACAGGAGTTGAGAAAAGCATCCAAGCAGGCAATGTCTGCGTACATACCTGGCGAAGCCTGTTGTCCAGGAAGTCCAGCCAAGTGACTTAAATTCGGGACACCGTACTTTGTGACACACCAAACCTGTTAAAAATATTTTTATGGTATTGTTTTTAAGCATGAGTCACTGCCAACCTACATTTTAAAAGCGTGCACACTTGTAAACAGGCCAGTTCAGATATTTCTATCCATGATCTTCTTGCCACCGACACTGCAACGGTAGCTTTATAACAGTCGGCAGATATTTTACTACCTATTAAACCAAAATGCAAAGATAGGAATTTTTGTTTATTTGAATAAGGAGTCGTTGTTCGGATCTATCTTGCACAGCCCACCAGCACTGGCACTTAAATTAAGGCAACATTATCTGACTCGCTGAGTCGAGAATATAATTACTTGCTACACTTTTATTTACTCTGTAGAAAGCATTGTGCACAGATTATAAATCGAGAATCGTCTATGTAGATCGAGACCAAATATTATACAGATTTTTCACATGCCATTCCACATTTTGAATCCTCACATTTAACATTTTCATTCGTTAACCAACATGTCTGTCGCAGCCAATAAAAGGATATCGGTTTTCAAAGGAGATGGCCCACCTGAAAGCAAGGTCTGCTCCGTCAAGCGCCAATCGAAGACGAAGGAGTATTAAAATCAGCTGAGTCTTCAGAGGCAGAATAAAGCTGCGGTCCTCGTTTTCCGTTTCTTTCATTTGCCAAAACTGCAATCTTTTAGCATCTGGCTCCAGAAGGGACCAAAACACGTCTAAGCGTTCAGGTGACGTGAAGCCTGTGTAGTACCTCAGTTTCTTGTGGTCCTGTTTGATGGCTTCGTAACGAAACTCTGTCGTTCCCTTAGCTTCCGCTTCCTTCATCCGCCTGTACGTGGCCGAGAGATCAAGCTTAAGCGACCTGTTTTTTTGTTTTACTCGGTCGCACAGCTTCATTGAGTCAACCTGTTCTTGGCGGCTCTTGTCAAGCTGCCTTTTCAGTGATATCACTTGAGCTTGTACCTTTTTAACTTCCTCCTCTAAGCTTCCAATCACATCCTTCAGGCTAGAGATCTTCCTGAGGAGCTCGGTCTCACTCTTGTTATGAACACTGTAGGAGTGATCTGACAGTGGGTTGAGCTCTGGCAGTGTTTCGTCATCTACGGTGCTGCAGCAGGCGGTGCCAGGGTCGACGTCATCTGCAGCTCCTGTGGTGGCCTCCTGCTGGGCCGCTGGCATACTTGAGCCGTTGAATGTAGTGGGCTGATTAGAGCACAAATAAAAACAAAAGAACAATAAATTTAATATTCTATGTAATGCACTTAACCCATGGGATGACAATGCCTCTAATGTTCCTGCATACCTGCAGCTCAGATGTTCATATTGTTTCAGATGTAAAGAGACTTGTATCCTCTAATATTTTAATTATTTGACGTAAATCATTGAGTTTGTTTAGTCACGCCAAAGAGTTTTCCATGTGCGAGTTAAACTTTTCAGCACTGTTGAATGCTTTCTATGCTCCTGGCTGGTATGCTATATTTGCCAACCTAAAAGCTGCTGCATAAAATGGCAAGCCTCCTTTAAGAAAAAGAGAGACACCAAGGAAGCTTTCTTTGCTAGGCTACGCTTGGCCTGGACACCATACCTTTATGCGTGTTAAGGGACGCCTTTTCACCACCTTCTTTTGTTGGAGGGGGAAGATGGTCGACACCCGCACCATGTAAGTCTTTTTCCCTCCTTGGAAATGTGCCCCACACACTCTGTGGCCCGTGGTTGGCACAAACTTTGAAAACCTGGGAGAAAAAAAATGGTCATATGCTGCAAAGCACATGGGCCCTTTAGAGCAACCTGACGTTTTTGAAGGAGTATTCAATCACTGTTTATTCAGGAACACCAAAATGGGCTTGTACATAGGAAGCTCAAGTGTATCTCTCGCAACGTTACCTTAAATGTTCATTTCACATAACAGTCCAAAACCTTCACAAACTATCGAGATTATGCGTTGTTTTGGTTTTATTAGCGGCAAACATCTAGAGACAAGCTTGGCTCTGTCTCCCCTGCTCAGCTGGTAAGTTAGCGGTTACATGGACAATGCTTGATGCATGATAAAATTCAAAACAAACCATGTCAGCACGACTTTATCGTCACTTTCTGCACCATTAACTACTGTTGCGCTCGTTGCTTTGAGTTACGTTTTGGAGCGGAAAGCGTGATACATTCGACAGATTCTGTCCACGAAACGTTTACGATTTGGTTCATGCGTCGCGACAGCTGAAATAGGGACACACCACAGGGGGTCCGTTAGTTGGCAATTTTAAAAAAGACCGCGCAAAAAAAAAAAAAAAAAAAAAGAAAGAAAATTGCTTGCACGAACAGAGTCCTCTGTTTGTGTACCTTGTCGCTTTGTCCGTTCGTCTTACCTAAAGGTCCAATATCATAAACGGGACCGCAGAAGTACACCGGGCAAACAAAGAGAGCACTGAAAGCCACCGCCGGAAAGGAGCGCCGACATCACGATTGAGATAGGCCGATATGTCGCGCCTCCGCTGCAAGTGCGCGGAGCGTCAAACAGATCCCAAACGCAAAGAGCATGTCAGCGCGTCCTTCTCTACACCCTTCATGCCTTGTACCTTGGAAGCTTATGCTCTTTTGTCAACGTGCGATGGGTTAAATGCAGGCGAAGGAAAGCTGTCTTACCTTCCGCTCTGTCCAGCTCTGTTGAGTCCTCGTAACCAGGTCTCACGCAGGCTTTTTTCCTTTGGGAACACGTAAAACCCGATGCCTTTTTGCCGGGTACTATTGTTATTGCACCCTGGCACACAACAGGTGAAGCCACCCATTGGGCACAGTGAATGAGCACCGGTTAGAACAACTACGTCGCATTCAAAGAGCGCACCGAGGCTGCCGAGGCGGTCGAAAAACTCCCGAGAACTACAGGTCCCAGAATTCACCGCGGCAGCGGTGGCGTAGTGCAACTCACGGTGAGATCGGTCTATTTTGGTCGTCTTTCGAAACCGAAACTAAAGTGAGTACCGTAATTGAGCATGCATGAGCTAGGTGGCAGAAGCGGCCGCCCAACAAAAGGTACCCTGTATCAATCGTCCATCCGGTCTTGCATAGCTTTCCCGTCACCTCTCGTTTCACGCTCTCGTCGTTCATGTGTCTTGTCTCGCGTCTTTATAAAAACGATTTCAAAGATAGACGCGGGCGTGTATTGGGCGCTTCAGTGCTTCAGTCGTTGTACAAAGCTCTCCAAGTACATCTTTGACCCTGACTCGCGATGTGTTGTTCTGACCTAACCCTCTCAGGTTTTGTTTTTGCGTGTTTAACTTGTACCTCGCCTACTGGCCTGGCAAGCACTTGCCTCTGCAGTTTTTTTTTTTTTTTTTTGTCGTATGCTGGACAAATACAATTTTCGGAACCAGCACACCAGCTCGGAGCACGTGGAGCGAAAGCTCGCGCTGCAGAACCCAGGGATCCTGGGTTCGAGCCCCACCCCTGCCCGTTTCGATCTGGATGAGCATCGTACCGGCGTGCGGTCGTGTATCACTACTGCGTGGTGCACGTTAAAGACCCCAGGCTAGCGGCTGTACCGCACTGGCTAAATTTCTCATCTACAGCTGGGAGACTCGTCGCCCCTGTGAGGCAGACCAAGTTCTAGGCTGTATAAACACACACACAACCCCCCAATTTTTTTTTTCGGAACCAGTTGGCGGAGGAGCGGAGTGGCATGGTGTCTGTTTCGATCGAACAAGCATCTCCGCTCGCGCGACGAAGCACGTGCAAATGCAAGCCTGCCGAACTTGCCCTCATGTAACGGTGGCAAGCGGTTTTTCTGAATTGCTCGACAACGGCCACAGTACTGTTCACTTGTGGGATGTCTCAATGTCTCTTGAGAGGCATTGAAAGTGGGAATTCATTACTAGCCAAAGGCAAAGCGAGGCTTGCGGCAGCCTTGTAGAAAGTTTCGAAAAGCAAAAAGAAAAGCACCGCTAGTCTTAAAGGGGCCCTGCAATCATATTTAAGCGTCTACCTTTTCTGCGGTTTCCACGTCTCTTGGGGTTCGGGCAACCTAGCGGGCACGGAGAGAGTAACTAAATATCAGTGTGTCATATTTTAAAGGGACGACGCGGGAACCTCCTCCACCTACGAGGGCGACCCACGTTGCCAAAAGCGCGCGATATGTGACGTCTTTGGTCCTGGGCTTACTACGGGTCAGAACCGCTAAAATATTTTTTTTAGTCGAGATACAAAATATAAGTGTCGCGAACCGTTTGAATTATGTATGAAAATACTTTTTGTTAAGTATTTTAGATCAGAAAAAAACAAATGCAGTTTATAAAGTACGGAAACAAGAAATGACCCGTCGACATACCCGCCACCAAGCGGCGGAAAAAACAGCGCATACTAGAGAGGGCTAGTGGGATGAGGTGCCAACGAACGGCGAGCGTAGAAAGGTCCCGGATGTAGGTGGCGGCGCTGCGGTCTTATACCGGCACGAGGATCCGACCGGTTCCGAGCGTTCCGAAGGCTTTCGGCGCGGGCTTGGCTGGCGATTTTACCATTTGGCGGTATGGCAGCGCGAAGTGGCTCCCGTTCTGAACTGATATTAACCCCGTGTTTACTGTCGTTTGTGGCCAATGAAATGTTATGCCGAGTTAGTCTTTAATCATGCAGCAAATGCAATGCGAGCCGCCCTTGTTTTCCGTTTTATACAGCCTATCCAACACGCGCTTTAGTGGCGCCCTCTCCAGCCGTCGACACGGAGTGCGGCAGCCGTGACGCTCGATGAGCTCACTACCCCTCTAGTTCACGGCTACTCAAGCCAGGACCTACGACGTCATGAAGGAGGTTATTTTTTGCTTGTTTTTGGAATTCTAATTTGCCTATAACTTCTAAAATAAAGCGAAATTTAGGGGGAAAAAGTTTCATTAAGTTACTACGTTCAGTGCGCTCAGGATTGGTGCAAATTAAAACCAGTCAAAAAGTTGTTGCATGGCCCCTTTAATGCACCTTCATCTTGTGTACAATTTCGCTTTGCAGTGCAGTAGTTACGTGTTTCATCAGTCGGAGACAGCTTCCATTTTATATTATATAACTACGGTAGTCAACCTAATGCTGTGATATTTACTAATAAGCTGGTCATGTTCAAATAAATGTTAATATGTGCAGTTTGGTTATTTATCTATAACGGTACAGATATATGTATAATTTAACTGAAGCATTGCAAAATGTGTCATCTCATTGGCATTTCAGTTACATGTTGAAAGACTCCCAAGTGGTCGAACTCGACCATAATTTGTTTATTGCGGCGAGCGAAGTGTCCTCCGTTCGTCCAGCACTTAAAACAAATATGTTTATTTTGTAAGAATATCTGCTCCAAAAGCCACTTTTCCTACTCCTAAACACTGTTTTGTCTGCTCCAAAAGCAACTTTTGTTGCTCCAAAACACTGTTTTACCTGCTCCAAAGGCCACTTTTTTTGCTCCAAAACACCCTTTTGGCTGCTCCAAAAGGTTCTCCAAAACGGCTTAGGCCAATCACGTCACTGGAAACTTAAAGATGCAGAAAAGACGCTTCTGATATCGTCTGTTTTTGGCGATAACTCATTCTATGAGATCTTAGCATCCCAGAAATAAAAGAAGTATGCTCGTGCGACGTCGATTTCCCTACTAAAAATGTGATCGAAGTTTGTGCCACGCCCCTTCCCGAGCAGAAAAGTCTGGAGCACAGAAGCCAGCGGAGGCGCCAGGGGCGTGACAACATGCGCGCGTCAGCCAATCGCAAGCGACGGTGCCGACAGCAGCGGCGCCGACAGCGCCTCTGCCGGACTCTGCGCTCCAGGCTTTTCTCCTTGGAAAGTCGTGTGGCAAGAACCTTTATCACATTTTTAGTAGGAACATAGAAATAGCTTTTTTATTATTATTCATTTATAGGATGCTTGGAACCCGTATGATAAGTTCTCACCAAGAACAGACGATCTCAGAAACGTCGTTAGTGCACCTTTAAGTTAGACGTGGAGGCAAAGTAGTGGCTTAAACGAGGGTTTTAAATGAAGAGTCGAGAAGACAAATAAGCAAAATGCTTCTAGAAGAGGAGGAACGAGATTACGTATTTTGCTCGAGCTCCGTACATACGCAAAGTAATTTAAATTCTTCTAACCGTAATTTATTTGGAAGTACATCCTCATCACAATTTTTGAGAATAACCACCAAAATTAACATATCAAATTGGTCAAATTGCTAGGCGGATATTTTAACATAATAGTGAGATCGATAGCAACAGCGCTTCTCTAAAATCGACGAATGACGACGTGTTGCCAACTTGCTCATCGATTTTCTCTAAGTGTCGGCTCTTTATATATATATAAACGGGCATGGGTGGCGGGGGGCCGAAGGCATGGTTATAGAAGAAGAAAAGAACCCTTAGTGAAAACAGCAACAACGAACGATTTATTCTTCGACGTTTCGGCCGGAGCCCGGCCTTCGTCAGGAAGTTTTCTGACGAAAGCCGGACTCCGGCCGAAACGTCGAAGATTAAATCGTCCGTTGTTGCTGTTTTCACTAAAGGTTCTTTCTTCTTCATCTATATATATATATATATCTGTCCACTAAGTATAGGTTAAATTTATTTTTCCGAAAACGCACCAATGTGGCCAGTGGTGATTAAGCGGCGCCTTCGTCCTCATTAATGGCATCATACGCACCGTTCTCCTCGCGTTGGTCGGTCATCGCACACTCGAGGCAGCACCGCCGCTCCGCCGGCTTCGCGATATGCTACAGCCCTCGGGTACTTCGACTAAGCAAAATTCTAACGCGCTGACGCCTACAACTGGCAAAGCTTGTAACTACGGTACGCTTGGCCCTTCATGGCATGATGACGCCAAGGCCCCGCCGGGTCTGCCGGATATCCCAAGATGCATCGCGCTCTTCGAGGGCTGATTTTGAAGCGCTCACCAAAATACAGGCATTTAGAACGAAAAATACGGCCCTCCACTTTAAGCACAACCACGATATTATCAACTACAGGTACAGTTTATCCTATTCGACGCATTTCTTGAACGTTTTCGTTTATTCAGAAATTTGATTCAGCATATCTTGAATCCCTTGACAGCGATCGAGAATTTATTTTGATGACCCGCGTTGTTGCCAACTGTAAACGCGTTTGCAGCTTTTGTGGTACTCTAGCTTCGTTTGGCCCCCGCACTTGTCGTAGGCTTTTTTGCACCGAGTCGGAGGATCCTTATCTACTGTATGATAACCCATCCACAGAGTACAGCCTGAAAGAGAGGAGAGAAAAAATAATCGATGTAAACAGTTATTCGGAGCAGTCCTAGTTTGCGCAAGTAGGCAAAATGTGACATATAACCGGTGTCTAGGGAAGTGTATAACGATTTCATGCAGCATACAACGTGCAGGTGGAAGTGTTCGAGACTGGGAAGGCAACAAGGAAACCACACAAGCCGGTCGCAAAGCTCACAAAGATACTTCCCTTGGTGGACAAGGTACGCTACAGGGGAGGGTTACGGCGCATTCAATGAGCGAGACTGATTTAAGCGGGGATAGCAGAAACCCAGATATACGATTATCGCCATTCCGGTGCACTTTTGAAACCGCTTAATTGACCAAGTCCTTCACATAGTAGCATCGGCTGTGGTATGACTTTAAATAAAACTAAGAAAATATATATTTTCTTCTTTTTCAAGGACCGTGCTAGGTTGTGTTAATCTGCTACAACAGTATTTCTTTTCTTTTTTGCAAATAGTTAACGAAAATTTTGTCGCTTCAAATCAGATAATGACATTCCGCTCACCTACAATGGTGCTCTTGAGCAATATTTAAGAGTAAGTAAACTTGGTGTTTATAAACCAATGGAAAGAGTGCATTTAAAATGTTTACAAAGGCGGTGCATTTATCGTACTCAAACTTTATGAGCGTAAGTATCCGGGTAAAAACTTTTGAGCCTAAAATATCCCGTTTGTTCCAATGTAGAATAAGGAAAACCGCAAAAGCATTATGGTTTACGTTGTTATTCACAGATGGTACCACAGGCTTTCAGGTCTCCTGGACCTACTTTCGAGTATTCATCTTAAAAAAGCTCTCCTTTTTTTTCTTTTCTTTTTGCTTTATGTTGCACCATCTGTGAGTACCAGCGTCAAACACAGGGTTTTCGCCGTGTACCCCCCTGTGCATAAAACTAAAACGGTTTTTAGACTTGTTTTTTGTACCCACACTTACGAATTTTCGATATGCACCGCCTAAATACACCTTTCCACCTTTGTGAAAAGTTTTAATGCACTCTGCTTGTTGATTCATTTATACGAACCTATTTTAAGCCTGAAAATCACTCAAGAACACCCGGTGGATTCCGTCTAACAACTGCTCCACCTATACACCCTTTCCCCACTGCTCCACCTATACATCCTTTCACCTTAAAACCTGGCCCACATAAGGCTGGCTCACACGTTTGTCTCTGTTGAGTTCTCAGCAACCGAAACGACAGCACAGAAAAGTCACCGGGACAAGTGTTCGCCGTACGCAACGTGGGAAGCGGTGCAAGAGGTAGTTTGGCGAAGCTATCACAAGTCACGATTGTTAAGGAGTTCTTTTCATTTCTGCCGTTTTGGTTGTTGTGAACGATACAGTCACAAATATGTGAACCAGCACTTAAGACGTATTCTCTAAGTTGTCGATCACACTTTAGTGGGCGTGATCACGGCTTTTGGAGGGCTATTTCAACGAACGGTGGAGGCAGTGGCGTAGCCAGGGGTGTGGTTTATAGGGCTTCAGCCCCCCACCCCCTATTCACCTCCCAGGCTACGCAACTGGGAGAAGTTCGCCAAAACCCACACTGTACTTATCGTCGCCACTCTCCGGGCACTTGCTGTCAGGTTTCTAGTAGTAGTTTAGACCAAACCACGATATTGGTTAAAACCAAGGTCAGCTTCTACACTAACTTCTTTAGTGATTTGACAGAAGGAAGCCAAATTTAATAGGCAACGTAAGTCTCGATTTTATTTGCTTGCCTAAAAGTGTTACCATGGGATAGTCCGGCTACTAACGCGTCCCGGTGAGAAGAAGGCGGGAATCTCTGCTCAAATCCGTTCTTTTTATACTCCATTGGCTTCACCTTCCACAAACATGATTCTTTCTTTTTCGTCGGCCATTCACATGGATAAATCGTCGAGTGAAATGCTCGACGATTTATCACGGCGTTTGCCAGAAACGCGAGCTAGCGTTTCGACAGATTTGTGACATGGCTTCGTGGCGCCAACGTTTAGGGTGGGAGGAGCATAGCATTATTAGGAAGAGATGGGTGTTGCTACACAGTGCAATCGCATCAATATTTAGTTCGTTTGCCTCACGATGTTGCTACTTCTCTCACGGAGGTTCGCGGTACCTCGACTTTCCATTGATCAAACTCACCTGATCCGTTTGCTGTATTATAGGTTTTTGTAACTTGACACTCCTCTAATACGTTCATGTAAATGAGTTTCCGTTTTTGTCCTGTTTGACGCAAAACAGAGCACATATATGACTTGTTTTCAAAATTTTCTCGCAGGTATTACTTGCAAGAGGACCAAGTCTACACACGAACTGGTTAGGAAACATGGTACTCTAAACTCATTCGATTTTATTTTATTTATATGAGGGCTAAATATAGTTACTTAACTAAACAAGATAACAATCACAAGATGCAATGAAAAAATCTTTTAAGAATAACAAAATTTCAGTAACTTCGTTTAATATATTTGTAAAACACCAAACACGTCTGCAGTTTTGGATTGCAACTTTGTTTTTTATTACATTTTTCTTTGGGCCTTAGTGTAAGCTAAGTAACAATGAGGGGGCTCCCCTCATTGTTGTCTGAAACCTTATTAAGCGCACCTGATGTATCCTAAAAATCTTACTTTTTTCAGGCCCAAAAATAAAACAAGTATGTACGTAACAAATCTTCGTGTAGTCAGCTACTAATCTTCGCGCAAGGTATAGTCGCGCTGTGAGTCAAACCCCGGTTTAAAATACACATAACAGAGCTAGTCGACGTATCTTTGTGAAATCATTTCTTTATACCTTCGTACTTGATCAACACATCTTTTAGGTAGGGACTTAGATTATCGCTATCCACTGCTTTAAATAACTTCGAGACATCAGTATAGTTTATTTAAAAATACGCCTGCGTAAACGGGACGGATATACCGGGTGGATTTACGAAGACCTTCCAAATATCCTAAAACTAGTGCGTTTGAAAAAAAAGGGAAAACCTTTTCAGGAAGAAAACTGCCAGCCGTGGCGGACGTCAGGATTTTAGAAAATATACTGATGAGCAACATAATTATCTTAAATTTACTATTTAACTTCTTAGTTAGTGGAAATAAACATGATTTTAACTAAAAAATGAAAGCCGCTTACAACTCCCTGTAACGCCGAATTAGAGCGCAGCTCTTGAGGAGGAGGAGGGAAGGGCACTGGGGGGGGGTTAAACTAACCAGGGGGGGTCACGTTACCTTAGGGGTCACGTGACCCCCAATGCCGATGATGTCATCACTGACGTCACTGATGACGTCATCAGTGACGATGACGATGCGGGTACCGATGACGTCATTAGTGACGTCACTGATGACTTCACCAGTGATGATGACGATGACGATGCGAATGTCGGTGACGTCATCAGTGACGTCGCTGATGACGTCATCAGTGATGATGACGATGACGATGCGGATGCCGGTGACGACATCAGTGACGTCACTGATGACGTCATCAGTGATGATGACGATGACAATGCGGATGTCGGTGACGTCATCAGTGATGATGACGATGACGATGTGGATACCGGTGACGTCATCAGTGATGATGACGATGACGATGTGGATGCCGGTGACGTCATCAGTGATGATGACGATGACGATGTGGATGCCGGTGACGTCATCAGTGATGATGACGATGACGATGCGGATGCCGGTGACGTCATCAGTGATGATGACGATGACGATGTGGATGCCGGTGACGTCATCAGTGATGATGACGATGACGATGCGGATGCCGGTGACGTCATCAGTGATGATGACGATGACGATGCGGATGCCGGTGACGTCATCAGTGATGACGATGACGATGTGGATGCTGGTGACGTCATCAGTGATGATGACGATGACGATGTGGATGCCGGTGACGTCATCAGTGATGATGACGATGACGATGTGGATGCCGGTGACGTCATCAGTGACGATGACGTCATCGGGGGGTCACGTGACCTCGAGGAGGGGGCCACGTGACCTCAGGGGAGTCACGTGACTTCGGGGGGTCACGTGACCCCCCACGAGGTCACGTGACCTTGGTGGGGGGCTCGCGCGGTGCATTATGGGACATTTCCCATGATGCACCGCGCGGTTACGCCGACGCCGACGGCGACGGCGACGGCGACGCCGACGGCGACGCCGCTCAAGCCGGAAACGGGCCCCTAAGAGCTGCGCTCTAAAACTTCCTGAGCGTCATGGAAAGCCTTTCGATCAGTTAACTGTATGACTAATTCAAGCATGTGGACAGCACGGGGTTGCCCAATAGAGGTATCACTCGTGCAGCAGGCGCAAGGCCGGTGATGCGAAATCACGAATGATGACTTGGTTCTTTACGTCGCGTTCCTTATGGTCCCATATTCTCACCATTCGCGTGTTTGCAACGCCGGTTTTGCGCCTGCTGCGCGAGTAGAAAATAAATAGATGAAAGGAAAACACGGTGTCTCCTTCCAATCTATTATGGCTGAGAGTTTCAAAAATACATGACGTAGAGGGTATGCCCAGCATCCCTTTATGTTTAAGCCACAGGAAAGGAGGCTAGGGCATTAGCCGATAACAACACCCAAGAAAAAATCGCGCCCTAAGACGTACGAACATTATAAGCCACGTCCTGCGTTTCTTCAGACCTCGGTGACTTTAGATATGCCACATCTATATAAATAAATGTGTGTGTGTGACTTTTAAATGTGTTCAAAGGTTTCACGAAAAGAATGGTCAGATCGTTGAAAAAAATCTCGACAGGTTCTGAAGACTCTCAATTTCGCGCCTGCCGACCTAGGCCTTGAGGCACTGAAAGGGGCGATCGCAGGCTATACGAACATCAAGTCGTCTGCTTCCTTTGCAGGGGCTGTGGTGACGTCAGAACGCCGAGATCTGATTGTTTCGGAATGAAGGATAGTCGTTAGGACCTCAAGGCAGCTTGCTTTGAGGTCTACCCACTATCCCACTATCACAGCCAATGAGAGCTCGGCGCCTTTCTGACGCCACCGCAACTCCTGTGCCAGATACAGACGACATGCTCTCCGCATAGTCTATTAAAGATTAAGACGTGTAGGACGCGGCCTATTATGATCACGCTTTGTGCTTTGTTATTCCTTCGTTGACGTTTTTTGTCGGCTTATATTCGCGATCTTATTGGCCGCACAGAAAAAAAAGGATGCTCCGGGTTCTACGCGCATTGCATTTCGTAATCCCTCATAAACTACGCAGTTTTCTCATAAAATACGCTTACTCTGTAAAGTAGTATAATATTTCTGGAAAAATGGGCATTTTAATTATGTAATTTCATTTGGGTCGACTTCATTACTTTAAAAAAGAATGGCATGGATAATAGTCTCTTACATTCGTAACAAACTGCATTCTAGAGCTGCATCGCACGCAAAATGGTTAGCTTGATTAAATGTTCAATTTCCTTCTCTTATTTTACTTCACGAACATTTAAAGTGAAGGCAGAACTAGTACATTCATAGAATTTCTCAACAAAGGTTTCGGCGAGAGTCAGAATGCCGCGTAGACCCTGAAAGCTTTTACAATGATCCTCCACATTGAAAAACTGCAATCCAAGAATTAACGCGGCTCCAAATAAACAGCAAGATAATTGGTGTTTGTAGTTCTTTGCATTTTGCATGGCTTCCAGCATGGGGAGAGTGAAAAGTTCGCAAAAGAGAAAAGCACTTTGAGAAATCAACTTACGTGTTCTTGATTCTTTAGTAGAATAGAAAAAAGTATTGGTTTCATTAGTGTAGAACCCTACGATGACATCTCCCCGCTTAGATCTAAAAGAAATATTTAATAAAAGAATAAGAGATCGATCGGTGTCCTACAAAATAAATACTCAACACACAATTCCGGACCATTGGGTGGCCCAAATTTTAAATCCTGTCTCCGCCGTTTATTTTGGTTTTGGGCGGTTTCGTAAAATTTTGATTCATTCGATCAAGTGCGGTCCACTCATCAGAATATTTTCAATTATAAGTTTTCTCTCTCCCTTTTTTTTGTTTATTTTTTGTCCCCTAACCTTGTCTCCCTGCACCATTTAACATAACAACAGCCAAGCGAGACGGCTGTTCATTTAATTTGCACGTAAATAAAACATTTCAACAACATGCGACGACGACGCGACTCGGTCGACGATCCCCGTACAAAGATGGGTGCCAAACAAATGCAAGGTGACACAGAGCTCTGGGAATCAAACCTTCAAATAAGAAAGCAATCACTAGTAAACTGAATATTACGCAGACTTGCGTAGCGCTGAAGGAGGCGTGATAAAAACTTTCAGGAGGTCGTCTGCTGATCTGACTAGGCGATCCCTGCGGTGAAGCTCGGCGCCTATATTGAGCTCGGGTGGAGGGGTGGGGGGGGGGGGGGGGGGGGGAGGAAGTAGGTGCCTGTCGCCGATGTCTTGCCGTTCACGAAGTAGTTGAACGCGTCTAAGGACTTGTAGGTTTTGAGTCGTTCTACGGTATATGGGTCAAGGTGGCGGCTCGAATAGGTAGTCGTGAAGGTGCACCCAGAGTACCTTCGGCAGATTTGTCATTTCTATGAGGAACAAGTGCTCGTTTTTCTCATCCAAGGAGCATAAGTATATTTTTTTAGATGTCCCAGACGGTCATTGGCAGTGAGACTATTAAAGTACGTTCTACTTACTGCGGGTCCTCAAAAACCAGCATAAACAAACAACCGGAAGCAACATACTCCCCCCGGAAGATGGTTTATTTGTTTGATTTTTTTTTACCGTTGAACAGCCTGTATAACTTAAATCATACCTTCCCGAGAAAACTCGTTTGTTTTGCAAGAAATGAAACAATCCCCAAAATCGCTTCAGTGACTCAGGGATTATCTGATTTGACATATATAATAGAGAGTTGTTTTTAATACTCTCAAATATAATAACAAATACCGAAAAGAAAAAACGACACCACGTTATTATAGGAAGAAAATCTAGAAATGATTACCGCCCTAATATTCGTTTCCTACTCTGTCATATTTTAAGCGGAGCGCCCGCAGCATGTTTTTATCTAGTGTTAAAAAGGCAAAAACAATTATTGTTTCTTTGGACAAAACCTGGCAATTCAAAATCATTATATTGTAGATTTTGTTGATCTGTTTTAACTTGTCATTTTGTTTTATTCTATTTCACTAAATATTGTTATTTGATATGTTTAAATCTGTAATCTTATAAGATTTGTTTGTCATTTACTGTTCGGGGGTTATAAAGGTCAAGCGAACATATTTTATGCATTATCAAAATTTGTCTCGAAGTAACTCTCAAATGTTTTTCCCCCAGCGACGCCTTATTCGCACAGCAAACATTGAAGGCGCCCACTCTCTGTGTTGGATACATTTGCTTGAGCAATATTTTTCAATATCCTCTTGAACTAGATTACGTTTAAACCACGACCTGTCATAGACGGTGCATGCACTTCCGAAGGAATCCTTTGTGAAGCTCTAATGGAAGTGCACATCGGCCGCGGTACTACCGCCATCACCAAATTTCATGCGTGTTCCAGTAACTTTCTGGCATGACGAAGCATGCGGTTGCGTTCCACCATCTTTGCCTTCGCTTTGGGTTCGCAAACGCACCTTATTCTGGGTCTTTGCTCAATGTTCCCAAATAGTTGGGTTTTTCTTCTAAATATTTTCGGAAAAACTTAAAGCTAAAAGGCGCAAGGAACGAAACGTGGCTTCGTTTAGAACTTTTTGCGCGTAATTCTGCAAACGAGGACATGCTTATATAATAAAAAAGATGAAGAAAGTTTTTGATTGGGCCCCAATCTAAGTATGAATGATTATTCTTGTCGTACGGCAAGCTTACAGGTGCACAATTGTGCGAAAAGAAACGTAACTAACCGGCAGATTATTATAAAATTTTTACCGGCACATGATAGTAAAAAATATATATATATATTTTCATCAGCTGGCACTTTTGAAAGAGCGCGGAGGGGGGGGGGGGGAGGGGGGGAGGGGGTAGAAGCTGGAAACTCATTTATGGTTTACGCGTGAAATTTCGTCGTTAAAAATGACCTGCTGTAGTCTGGAACCTTCCTCAGATCGCGATTTCGTTCTGAGCAACGGTTAAACTCAAATTTTTAATCAATATTTGGCTGTTAAGTAAATGAAAAGCTGCAATTAAAGGCTTGTAACTTTCAAATGCACACTTACGGGTCTCTGCTGTCATTTCTGAGCATATATTTGATTTTGATGGGATCCTCTTTGCGTTTGTCACCTCCTCCCCACCTTTCCACGCAGGAGTAGTTGCCAAATAACTTATCATTGGTGTAATCACGATACTTCATGCAGTATGTGCCATTCGTAAGGAATGCCTGAAAACAAAAAGGCCGGAGATGATTACCGACGCACAAGGGAAGACGTCGTTTTAGGGGGGTGTTTTTTTAGACATGTAAGGTTTTGATTATTAGATACCTCGCGATATCTTTTCCTTCAGTCAGTCAAAAATATCTCCAGATCACCACTGTATTGGTGTCTTATAACTCATGTTATCCTTTTTTTTAACAAGGAACGCACTAAATGTAGTTATGTATTTTTATTAACAAACCCGACCGGTATTCAGAACATTCCGAGCACGGTTTCCGTCCATACCATATTGCTTTTAATCATATCTCTACGTCAGTTGTGATGGTTAGCCTTTCTGCAAATCTAAATGGTTTACATTAAGGAGACAAAAAAGATGTTCAAAAGGGCTTTTATATGCCAGTGTATTTCATGCGTCTACTTGCTGGTGTCATATCGGAAGCGGGGGCTAATATAAGGGGAGTTGGGGGGGAAGGTTATCCCCCCCCCCCCCACAGACACCCACAAACACACGCACACACTGAAGGCGATTGTTTTATAAATAAAGTGCCAAAGCCACATTTTTTGTTAAGAAATAAATTATTCGTGCTTGGTAGAACGGTGACTATCTTTGTCCGTGACGTCACATCCGGAACTAACCTTATATTTATCCATAGCTTCATTTCTTTGCACACCCCAATCCCCCAAGCCTGACTCATAAATTTGCCTCTGTTCGAAAGTGGGAACCGGATGGACACTATTTTATAATCTGCCAATACACTAGCAAATTACGGGAACGATACTGGTGTTGTGTTTTTGACACTCGTAAGACTTTCGGGCCTGTACAACGCTAACTTTATGACTGACCTTCCAACATATACAGTTTTTTTTTCAACAACTGTGGATAAGGTTAAAAAATATCACTTGAAATAAATAAAGTATTTCTTCATAATGATCGAGGAAGTTACCATTGAGAGCTTACAAACAAAACATTAATTATATAAGAGCTACTAAATAGTTTCTCAAATATTTACCTTAACAGGGACACTTGAGATATTTACTCGTCGTTATAATATGCATAGCATTTGTTAGAAAGAAACCCTAATGTGACTGATTCAGTCAAAACTTTTAAGTTCGCTAATACCGCATACACATACGCTAAACACTAATTTTGTTAATTTTTGTTTTTGGTTCTACACCCTCTTTTATATCACATGAAATGCTAATTACTCTTTATTTTACTTACACGCTTTTGTTCGAGAAAACCGAAATAACGATAAAGTATTCTAGAAATATGTAAACCAGTTCGCTTATTCTAATTTCTGGTCCCAAAGCACAACTGATCAGCACTTTTTTATGCGCTCTAGATTAGAGGTACCTGGAAGCTCCCTCCATAGTGAAAAACATCGGAGACGATCGGGGGTACACCAAGAAGTTTACAAACACAATTCCGTCTCGGAGTTGTGGTTGTTCTTTTTTTCTGTGTCGCCTCGTCTTCGTTTTTTTTTTTTTTTTTCCCTCTTTTTTATTGTTTTTTTTCTTTGACAGCACAATCATCCGTATTTTAGGAAGCTCGCTTCTTATACACGTAGAAGGCATGGTTGAGCAGCAATCTTGGAGAAAAACAATCAGCTACAGATATCACCGCTATATATCGACTCAAAACCGTTATTTCGAAAGAAACTATACGTCGGCTTACCTCGGTTGCATTATATGGCGGCCGTTTTACACTCGCCTCGTGCGAACTGAAGATGGACCCCGCCAGAACAAAGCAAGAAACGAACAGGGATGTGCTCATCGTAGTTTTGGATTTAACCGCTCTCCGGTCAACTGACTTCGTAGTATGCAAGGGAAATAAGCTATACATGTTAAAGAAACTTACCGACTTTTATATTCCCGGTTTTGAGTTCCTTGAACCAGGATCTCAAAGCAGTGCAGTGTTACAAATACCACCCACTCACTTGAAGACGTGAACCGTATTGCGTCGTGTATCTTGACGTATGAGATATTGCGAAAGTGTATGTTCTACTCGTCTTTCATTATTCGTCCATTTCTTGCGGAACAATGATAGTTCACATTTCTAGAAACCAGTTTTTTTCTGCTCTTATAACGTCATAGGCCTAAGCATTGCGAGTAAAATAAAAGTCAATTTCACAAGTGCTTATACGAGTATCGCTATTTCGTGAATTTCTTGTTTGAAAACTAGTAGAAGAAAAATTTTACTTTCTTAACTTTATATTTGTGCAGAATAAAACTTTTAGGAAACAATAAACCTTCGTCTTCTCGTTCTAACCTACCACATTTCCACCATTTAAAACATTTTTTGCCAAAAAATCTTTCAGGAAAAAAAATTGCTGACCATTATATTATGCTGAAGACCAAGTGCTATTTGCTGAAGCGGATATTTGCTTTTCTGACTAATTAATAAAAAAAATTGCTATAATAAAAAAAATTGGGAATCGCCCTTTTTTTTTTTGTTACCTCGCCCTTGAACTTATTAAAAGATTTTTAGCACAAAACAATGAGAACTGGGGGTTTCACCGTAAACAGCCCAGGTTTGCGATTCTGAAAATAAAGGGGACAACACACAAACTGTACATGTGAATACGCAGGTCCGGTGAAATGTTGCACTGGTGTAATAGAGCACCGCTACGTCTACGACATAAGGCTCGATCCCATCAAGCCATTTTATTATTATTCATTCTTTAGGTATACTGTCAATATCACAAAAAGATTCTGGCAGGTAGTTTCACTAAAAGAAGTAACACAAATAGGAAAAAATAACAATATAGGCAAAATACTTAATGGCAAAATTTATAAAAGGCACACCAAGAAAGAATATAAATTCAAAACTACCTATGCGCGGGAACCGCCAAGCACGCTTTTGTCAGGTAATAAATTAGCATCTGTAAAAAAAAAAAAACACCGAAACATAAACGTGTCGCCCAGACATATACAGCGTCCCATGAATAAAGCCGAACGTTGAACAGGTGGCGGCTGTGTGACCCATACGTTGTTTCAAAAACTAGTAACATCCAAAAACTCGGTATATGGGCAACATTCAATCCATACTGAATATAAATGAATGCAGTTACGACGTTGTGTAACTTTTATAGAGAGTCGTAAATCAAAAGGTAATCTTTGTCAACAAGAAAACACGGATATATGTGCCTTACGATAATGTTTACTTCGAGAGATGGAAAGAAAAACTCACAACTGAGAAATAATCTACTTTCCGAAAGTTCAGACATCATAAACACTCATTAAAGAAAAGAACAAGGAAAAGTAACCCAGACTCTCAAATATATCTAGGTTTATATTGCAGAGAACTTTGCAAATGCTCGTGAGGAAAAAAGCATGGAGTTTAGAACAGAAACACACTCTAGCATAGGTTCTTAACAGAACCTCTCTAGAAAGGCGGAAAACATCATAACTGACTGTACACCAAAGAAATAAAATAAGTAAGCAAGCACTCAATTACACAACGTCCCTCAAATAGAAGAGATGAGGCCAACTTAAAAACCTCCGTGTTTTTTTTTTTCCTCTTAAAGCAACTTTCCTCTATATTTTGCGAATGCTTAAAAACATTTTAAGCTAGAAGAGTAACAACGTTATTCACAAGAAGAAAACTTGAGCGTTCCATTAATACTGAAGAGAGCTTTTACAGCGTCCTACCGTGTGCAAATCGTTAAACGTGTTTTTATTTGCACAACGATTTGGGGTCTTTTCATAAAACAAAGCAGAAATTACAAGATACATTATTTTCTTTTAATTTATAAAGGTTAAATTCTTTTTACGATCTTGCGGAGTATGTTAAAAAAGCATCCATGATATATTCCAGTAAAATAAAAGAAACCAGGGAGCGTGTATCCCTGGTCCCCATTCACTGATGCATTTCAGTGTGTTTTATTTCATCCGTTTTCATATTCAAAACAAAATCTATAGGTTCACACAACTGGAAATTGGTACTAGCTATAACGCTCACACTGACGTTTGCCTGCAGAGTTTTTAAATTACACGAAAAACAATAAAAGCAGGTATTTACAATATGATTTCTCTCGGAAACGGTCGCGTGGTTTTTCAATACTTCAAGAGCTGTTTGCCGAACTCGACTCAATAATGCCAACTGCTTAGAGTTAAGGTCAACTGTAACCCGTTGACATAAGCATATATCCGCTTATACATATACACGCGAATATTGCATTCGTCGCATATACACGCGACGAATGCAATATTTATAATACAGTGTTGACCAGATAAAATGGCAGGATTAATTCCCCGAGGGAACTGTTAATGGCCATGGCGTCCTCTATAAAAAAAGGTTAAATTAGGTAATTAGTTAGCTCATTAACCTTTTTTAATAGCGGCCGCCATGGCCTCCAGTAAACACTTCCCAGGGCTTAAATTACTCTTTCTCACGTTGTCTTTTTTCTTTTTGAAATTCGGTGCAGCAAAAAAGAAAAAAAACACCCTCTCTAAGAACGGTATAAACAACTCTGGAAGCCTTAAAGTTTCTAACACCAAAGCTTCAATAAAATATATCACTTCCCTGTCAAGCGGAATCTTTCATGATATGAATGAGGCAAGAGCACTACAACTAAAGCCTTAATGCGAACACTTCTCCGGTGGGTGAAAGCTTTACTGTTAAACATTAACAGGACAATAGTTGTAACAATTCGTGAATCAAAATATATGCCTGTGTTAAAGGAAGACCATACGAAGTTTATTCTCTTGTTCTGTTGTTTTTTTTAGCTCACCAACACCTCAAAGGATATTCCGGTGAAGAACGAAAACATATATAAATTAGTCACCACTACATAAATACTAAATTATATATTCTAATGAACATATATGTAAAAAACTCTAAAGTTAGTTCTGCTTTTATATTCAAAAACACAAAAAACACAAGCTTTCTTACTGTATCGCAGACGCAGTTAGCGAACCGCTCAACCGGTAGTGATCAGCTGGTTACTGTGTGTACAAACCCGGAATGTGTTGATAGGGTGGATTTTATGCGAAAGGTTTTACGCTCTAGTGTGGCGAAAGAGGATTACAAATATGCCAGGGTATCCTGAAGTATACAGAACCTATAGTAGGCATCGCATAAGCACCCAAAAAGAAGCCGTACTTTCTCATGAATTAATCATTAATACTCATAACCAGGCCTAATTAATTGTAACCTGTGAAATTTAAGAAATGGTCAAATGCGAATAGAAAACTTGAGCGTGCGCTCCGCAGCTTGATGCTTCTGGTAAGTACCAGGTCAGAAGGTGGCGGAAAGTGAAAACAGCGGGACCATGTATGACCCACGGGAACCTGCAGAAGAAGGCGACCGCCTGTGCGCGCCGCTGACTCCCGACCAACTGACGAAGCGTAGCTACCCACTTGGTAACCAAAACGTCACGAAAAAGATCATAACCCACTTACGGATACCGCAGCGGGCGTCTGACGGTACAACTGACTACGGCAGCCAACAGATAGATTAGCGGGTGTGACAAAGCTTCTCCCGTTGCGATTTCTTAAGTTACCGCAAGGGGCTCAATTCTCGCAATCCAAGAGCACAAAAGACTCAAGGCACTACATGGACCTTCCGAAGATGCAGAACCCAAATGCGTTCCAAGGATAATACAGTCAACTTCGCTGATTTGCACTAGACTGCGCCCATTTACCGATAATTCGCCCCGAGTGGAATGCATGCGCATCGCCCTGTCGTCGCATTCGAGTTTCCGCGCTGAGCCGAGGGAGCGGGTTGCAACAATGCACTAATAGCAAATTCGATTGGGCGCCTCCGCCACCGAGCCAGGTTATCCGCAGTGCTGCCAAAAATACGTCACAATTTGCTTGCCGACGGTGCGAGTGCAGTTTTCAATGGAGGACGTAGAAAACCCTCCACAGATCCGCGACTACTATCTTGCCGTCTATAAAATAACGTGCGAGATGAACGAGAGCGGGTATCGCTGAAACCGTGGAGTACTCAGGTCTTCGCCACCCGGACGTTGTAGTTGGATGTTGACCGCGAAAGCGACGGGGTGCAGCAGTTCTGAGTTTACATGCTATACCTATTGCTCAAACCAGTGAATCACAAATGTTATTCTAGCCTCCTTCGGTGATAATCAGCGATTTGCTTTGGAGGGCTTCAGTTAGAACTGACAAAGAATGAAAGGAAATGGATCGACAATAATATTTTGTAGATAAATGTGCCACCCTTCCTTGTGTCGTATAATCATTTTGACTTGGGCTCAATTGGCATGGATTTGTCACGACATGCTCTACTAATGTACTTATTAAAACGATTTCAAGATGCCATTCGGAAGCTGATCGAACCTTGCGCTGGAATCGCTGCCACGCGATTCCAAGATGCCGAATCGTAGCCAGTCGTTTCGATCCCTCGCAATCATTGTAACTTTCAATCGATCAAACTTCGAACAACAAGAGGAGCACGTTTTTCGGATGACGACGCGCAAAATGACTGTCCTTTCTCGCATCTTTAGACAGGAAAGTATTCGCCGCTCAAAGATTTCTCATTCGCTCGCATTGAATCGACCAGGAGGGGGAGCCGAATCCAGTCGAGGAACGGGCCCCAATGAACTCGTGACATTCACGGTGCAGAAATGGATAAACAACCCACACCGCAAGGTTTTTCTATCGTAAAGGAAGCGATGTCAGAACCGTAACTCCTTTTTCTATTAGGCGCCGCCATATTGAACTGTGAGCAAACCTGTCCATTTTTACGGTGCACCGACGTTCACCACCCATGATCACGCTTGCCGTGCACTCCGCCAATGGAAGTAGCTCAGA